CTAATAAGCAATCTGCTCCTGTGGAATCAAAACAGTCATTTCCATTTTATTTGCAGCAAGCTCCCTAGAGCAGAGAGGTGCTTTGGGAATTAACAGGTGATGCATCTGAATAATTTTCCTGATCGTGTGGAGGAACACGGCTGAGGAAGTGATTTGTGGCATTTCTCAGCTGTTTGCACTGTGCACAGTGACGGGGGGTTATTCCTCATTACATTACTTATTTAATAACGGGCAAAACGAGTCTGCAGAACTGTGAGTGTTTCTGCTGATGCTGGTTACTTAATTTGAGAACTGGCTGAATTCAAAAGATGCTCCTCTATCCCTCAGCACCAAGTCCTGCAGAGCAAAGACACCTTTACCACCCAGACAGCACCGTAACTCAGTGCTATCTATCGCACAGCACAAGTCATTCAGTATTTCTGCTCCCATTTATGAAATGGCAATTAATTACCTTGAATATACAGTTCTCAGGGCAGCTGGGATCTTCATACGGCAGCAGGTGCCAGCACGAAGTTCATCAAGCAGCATCCATGGAGTTACATCACAGAAGCTTTTATTTTGTGGTTCTCTACTACTGAGAACACATTTGTTTGCTACTTATCATCTGACCTTCAAGGCAACACAAGTCAGCAAGGAGGTGAGAGTGACAGAAAAAAACAAAACCTTTCATATCCTCAGGTTTAATTCTGCAAGAAATGTGTTGTTGGAGGAGCGCTACAGGATAACGAGGCAGACTAAATGAAAAACAAATTGGAGTCCAGAAAAGTTGTAAGAAATACTGCAGAGTGGGGGTAGAAGGGGCTGGAAAGGGAGACTTACAGCAGCCGTTCAGTAAAGAGATCAAGATCCCATCTGGAGGGGCAAAAGGCCAAAGCCACAGAACAGATGGAGACCAAGCGACAGCTGGTGCAAACGTGCTTTCATGTGTAAAGTTTGTTCTGGGGAGAATTCTGCTCTCCAACTCTGCAGGCATCGCTCTGATAGCAGCTCCTCCCCCTGCAGCACTGGGACCCAGCCTGCGCCCAGGAGCGGCAGCTCACCACGATAGCGGTTAATTAACAAGGGCCCTTTCAACATTCAGAAGCTGTTGTCACACAACCTTGGCACCAGTTTAGCGGCAGAGGTTTCTGTTCCTTCCTCTGCAGGGGGAGATGAAAAGAATTCATTTTAACCCCGGCGGTTCAACAGATTTCCTGTACGTTTTTACATACGCCAAGGGCTGCCTGTTCAGAAGGGCTCAGGTGAAGAACGCAGTGCAGCACACTGTTAACAGCAGAACGTCCGACTGCCTGCTCCACTGTGAAAATCAGCACACAATCAGCCAGGAGGGAGGATCCTCTTCAACACAGGCATTTAATCCGGGACCTCCCCAGGCTGCACCATGCTAACGCCATTCTGACAGCCTCTCCTTGGAGAAAGCTGTGCTCTGCCTCCCCACCGTCAGCCAAGAACCGAAATCAAAGTCCTGGAGAAGAGGCCATTGTTTCCTTTTCTTTAATAAAGATAGGAAGTTTGTTTTTTCTGTTAAGGCAAGAATGTCATCCTGCTGCTAGGATCTAGTACTGCACCTTCGATTACAGAAAAAAACCATCATACTTGATTACAGTTAAAACTGAAGCAATTCGTAATTAAAAAACTAAAACAAAAAAAAACCCAAACATTCCCCTTCTAATTACCTATCCTGAGTCCAGTTTCATGACAGACTTTGAGGTACAAGACAATAAATTAAAAGTTCATTCCGACAGCACAGATCCACCGCCTCCTCAATGCGACGTCTTCTTTACTCCCTTCCCAAATTTGGCATCAAGTCCAAGGCCTGCAAAGAGACAAAGCAATCTGCGTGCACGGAAAGCTCCCTCTTCTTCCCCCGCTCTGAGCTGCAGCACACTTCCATCAGAAGCGTTCCACACAATTCCATTTTCTGACCAGCACCTTTTACAGCTGCCCCCGCTGAGCGCTGTTTATGTTAACGGAAGGAAGAGCTCAGCTCTGCTCCCAGACTTACCCAGGAACACCAGGACCGTCCCCACCCACTGCATGCTGCTGATGGGATTGGCAAACAGAATGACGGATGCTAAAATGGTGAAGAACTTGCGTGTCGTGGTGATGATGGAACAGGTCAGAGGTCCGAAGTAAACCACCGTCATGAAAATGAAGCTCTGGAAAACAAACAGGTGCTTTTCATCACAAAAAGACACAGCTGGGATCACATTTTCAACCACAGAGCCAGAGCTGAAAGAACAGCTTTCGGGTTGTTTTTTTTTTTCCCAACTCCCCATTACTTCCATACAACCATTTTAATTTCGTGGTAGCCTACAAGAAAAGCAGCGATAACCAAAGCAACAGAAAGCGAGGCAACTTTGCTCTGCCATCTCCCAGCTGTGCAAACAAACCCCAGTGAAGGCTGCAGAACAAGGGCAGTTTACCTGACCCAGCGCGCTCGTCAGGCCGAACAGCAGGATGTTGTAAATGATGCTGGGATAACGCTCAGTGAAACTCAGGAACTCCCAGAGCTCTCCAGTGAACAGGATCCCTGCGGGAAGGGTCGGGATGAGAAGTTATTCACCCGAGCATCATCTCAGCCTACGGAGCATAACCTCAGTTCGCATTCCCAACGCAGCCGGCAGCACGGAGGGCTGCTCAGCACGGAGCTCAGCTGGGGAGTTCAGCTGTGTGTGAAGCAGCGCCCCCTGGTGGGCATCGGAAGAGCTGCACCGAACACCCAGACACCGAACACCCAAACTGAAGCTCTTTTGCAACGAGCGTTTCCAAGTCCTTCAGGGAGCAGAACACGGCGCTGCTCCGCAGGGCGCTGCAGGGCAGGCCGTACTTTGTGCAGGGCGTTCCTTACCAGCTCCCAGGAACAAGGTGGACCAGAGGTTAACATTCAGCATCATGTGATTGGAGCCGGTTTGATAGTGAGCTCTCATGTGGTCCTGAGAGACACCTGTCAGCCCATCCAAGGTCAGCGACAGCAACTGACAAAAGGAGACAGGGATACGAGTAAAGCAAAACCTTCTCTAAGGTGAAGACCTTCAGCTCCCTCCCTCGTTTGAGGCATCCCAAACAATGACAAACCCACCAATGATGCGACCTCAGAACAGACAGAAAGAAACATGCATCCCTCAAACTCGATGAGGCGCCCACTGCACGGAAGCATTTCCACATCAGCTTTAAGGTGCTCTTGCTGTACAAAGCTCTCACTGCTCCATCCTCCCACCCGGCAGCCCTGAGCTCACTGCACTGCAGCAGCACTCACCAGAAGGAGCTCCCCGTAGCCAAAGATGTGGTCGTCACCTCCAGCTCCCTTTTTGGGCTTATACATGAACAGGGCCACGCCTGTGACTATCAGGAGGACGCAGAGGTACTTGGCCAGCGGGTACTTCTTCCTCAGCACAGTCACACCTAAAAGCATGACTGCAAAAGAAGCGACACCATGAAACCCACATCCTCACCTGGGAATCCAGCTGCCCACAGAACAGAACACGGGGCTGAATGGTGCACAGCTGCCGTTCCTGCAACACAGCGCTGTTTTTACAGCTGAGCTCCTCGGATCGGTCAAAGGACACGAGAAACCCACAGAAACACAAGCAAAGAAGCATTTTGATTTGCTTACCTGGAATGGGCTTACAGGATTTGCCTAGGACCTATCAAAAAAAAGAGCACATTAACCACCTGCACACCAACCTCCTGCCTGCAGTGTGAGCCCAACACGAGGGCGACCCGACCGGCACCGACACACTGCACCTCCTGCAGGAAAGCCAACAAAGCCCCGCCACACAGCGACCGCAAAACCAAAACCTGCAGCCCACAGCCGTCAGCGGCAGCTCCCAGCCGGCGAACGGAGCTCCGTTCCCGGAGCGGCCGACGCTCACCTGGGTCGGGTAGTTGACGAACTGCAGGGCCGAATTGCTGGAAACCATCGCGCCCAGATAAGAGAGCGAGCAGGCGGCGTACAGCCAGCCGTGCGTGCGATCCACCCTGACGGAGTCAAAGAAACGGATCACTGCGGGGAGAGCGAGGGAGGAGAAGCGTCAGGGCTGCGACGGAGCTCAGGGCGCTCAGAGCCGCGGAGCGCGGGGAGCCCCGCCGGCAGCCCGGACTCACGCAGCTTGGCGAAGGCGGCGTTGATGACGCACTGGATGAAGACCAGGCTCAGCGCGTACGTGAACTTCTCCTGCCGGGCGCCGTCGCCGTATTTCCCCCGCGTGCTGCAAGAGCGGGACTCGGTGAGCCGGCGGCGCGGGGAAAAACCCGAGTCCCGGGCCGGCCCCGCGCCCGCTCACATGCTCTCCTGCAGGATGCCGTAGTAGAAGTAGCAGGCGAAGACGCCCAGGAAGCAGATGGGCAGGCGGAGGCGCTCGGGCAGCGCGGGGCCGCCCGCGTTCGCTCCCATAGCGGCGGCGCGGCCGCTCAGCGCCGGGCCCACGTCCAAAGCCACATCGCGCAGGGCGGCCGGCGGCGGCGGAGCGGGCGGCCTCATGCACGCACCGTGCGCCCGCCCGCGGCGCAGGACCCGCCCTGCTCGGCTGCGCCCGCCTTCCGCGCTGCCGGATCCGCGGCGGGGTTGGGGGAGGATGAGCGGCGGAAGACGTCGAGCAAAACCATCCCGGAGCTGCGGAACGAAACCTTTCGCCTCCTCTCCGAGGTCGCCGCCGTCGCGGTTCGGCCACGATCGCGGCTGCGGGGATTTCTGGAGACAGGCAGCGCGTGGGGCAGCCCCGGGCTGGGGGCCTTCAGTGAGCGCTGCCCCGGCGGTGACGCAAGCAGATGTGGAGCTCGGTGATTGGCTGTGCGGCCAGAGGGCGGAGCCCGGGTGGCGTTCCCGCCGTCGCCCGAGAGACTGGGGCGTGCCGTGCGCATGCGCAGCGCCGAGCCGTTCGGCGGCCGGGCTCGCTGCGTTCCCTCCACCCGGAGCTCCGCTCAGCGCCTCCCAGCGCTCCGACCCCCGTCAGACTCGGGAATATTAAGTCCAACCCCCCCCAGGAACACGAGGGCTGTCGGATGCACGAAATAGTTTATTTTCTCCATGTAACTGTCAACACCAGCATCTGCAAAAACCCCTCTAAACACAACTCCAAATCTAACTTTCCTCCTTTAAGCTTTGCAATACATACATAAAATACAAACTTCAAACAGCTGCAAAAATAGTGTCTTTGGAAGAAAATAGAGTTTCTACATCAGATATAAGAAAATAGGCTTCTTCAGTACAACCCAGAGCCTTTGCAACAGAACACAACCAAACGCCGCTGTTAAGAGGCTTTTTACCATCTGTGTCCTCGTGTCACCGCTCTGCTTTCTGCTCTGCGGCCCACGAACCCCACACCCCCCCCAGGCAGCCCCAGCCCCGCTGTGCAGCTGTGTGGGCTCAGGGCCGGGCGCCTTCCAGCACCGCAGTTTGTTTCCCATCCTCTCTTCCTGCAATGTGGCCGCAGCACCGGGGACACCGGCAGGCAGCTCTGCCATTCCTGAGCAGCCACCATCTCTCTCCTTCACTCCTTGCAGTAAGGCAAGTTTTCCTCCCCCTGCTGAAGGCGGCATTCGGTCACCTGCGCTCCCTCCCCTCCCCCCGTTCAGCACAGCTGCCTCAGGGCTCCCAAAGCTCCGGGGTTTCAGGGGCTGAAGGCGTCCATGGAGGCGCAGGCAGAGAACGCTGCTGTCTGTGTCACCACTACAGATCAACAGCAGCTCCCACGGCCCCGGAGCAGCCGTCCTACAAGACCCTTCTCCCCCTTCCCACCTCCCAGAGCTCAGCAAGCACCAGGCAGCGGCAGCAGCAGGGATGAGAAGCACTGGGAAGCTCCACCTGAATCCTCCCGGCTCAACTGCACTCAGAGGCCCGGTGCGCAGCTCCACCCACGGCAGGGGTGCCCAGCTGCTCTTCACCAGCAAAACAATCATACAGGAAATGACAATTCAACGCAGGAAAGTGCTTTCAGCAGGGGAGACTCGGGGAAATGAGCCCCTCCCGCAGCAGCGAGGAGTCCTGTGGAACGTGGTCCTTCACAGCTGCTTTCATCCTTGGCAGCCCGCTGTGGTTTTCAGGCCCAGCGCTGCCCCTTGGCTGTCAAGTCCCAACCTCAAGGCACTGATCTCCACGCGATGGCCGAGATGCACTGAGGAGCCAGAGCTGCTGTTGCTGGCTAACTTTCCCAAAGGCTTCACACAACGAGGGAGCTGTGGAAGACGACGTTCTCCTCTGGCTGCCCACGTTTCCAGTGTTCATAATTGAGTGAAGGCGACTTGGAGGCGTCGCTGAAGTTATCTACAGCAGCGTCCTTCCGTGCCCCAAGGAATGGCGTGGGGGCCGAGGGCTGGCAGGATGTAAACGTGCCCGTGCCAGGGCTGGATGATGCTGGAAAGCCCCTGCTAAAGAGAAAGCCCACGTTTGGGAAGAGAGGCTTCACCAGGCTGACCGGGCAGAAGGCAGAGCCCGTGGGGTTGAAGTGCACTTTGTTCTTATCCGGGCAGGAAGGCTGAAAGGTGTGGTCAGGGCTGGAGCTGAAAGAGACACAGAGGATGTGATCAGCAACAGATGCTCCCCAAGAGCACCAAACTGCCTGCGGCTGCAGGGACAACACCTGGGGTTGCGCACTCTTCAAAGAGCCTGACTAAAAGCTGAGTGGCTGGGCTGTGAGCCGGGCTGCTCCTCACGCACAGAGCAGCACGACGAGGCTGTTTTGTTTTGAAAGCACACTTATTTACAGGAAAAGCAGCTCTCTTTCCGAGGGGCTGTGCTGGCTGACAGTTATCTACCGCCTAGGAAGGGCAGAAATCGCAACACCCTTCCCAGTGTGTCTCAGGGTTAACACTGCAGCTTTCACCTCTTCCACCAGGATCCGAGCAGCCAAGGTTTTGCTGCAGTGTTCCTTAGAGGCTGTTCCCTACTTTCAGAGCAGGGCACAACAGCACAACTGGAGGCTCAGCTGCTCCCACCCCAGCATCCTGCCATAGGAGCAACCCCAGCTGAGCTCTCCTCTGCCACAACTCCTCGCACTTACGAAGCTTCTTCAAAGGCCCGGACCTTCTCACATCCCTCAGGAGGCTCCCGTTTGAACATGTAGCTGTGGTTGGGCCGAGGAGAGGAAGCGAAAGCCAGGACTGGAGAAGGGCTGCCCTCCTCTACAAGAGATGAAAGATACTTTTAAAGGAATTTTTATGAGAATCATAGAATCACAAGGTTGGAAACGGCCCATAAGATCATCTGATCCAGCAGAAGTTTAAGCTAATCCCAAGCGTGCTCTTCCAGTACCCCTGTGGCTGTGGGCTAAACCCAAAGCACTTTATTTGTGTAGCTCCCTGCTCATAAGCACCACGCAGCACAACAGGAGAGCATCCACCTGGACACCGATTAGCAGGGCTTAGGAAGTCCACCATTATTCAAAGTGGCCGAGATCCCTTCCAACCTCATCTGCAGCTTGGATCCATCACACAGCCTCCTCATCCCCCCACAGCTTCCCAGCAGCATGGGCTCAGCGCTTGCCTTTCTCTTTTGGATCCAGCTGCATCTCATCCACAGCAGAGGAGAGTTCTTCTGCCACCAATCTCACTGGAGTGTGTGGAGAAAGGCGGAGAGGCACAGAAGGGGAAGGAGAAAGCGAGAGGCTGCTGCAGCTGCCACTGCTGGGCTCCAGCATCAGGGAGGCATCCCCAGAGCCTCTCGGAGCAGGTGCTGGTGCTCTGTGGCCATCTGGGACATCCAAGATCTAGGGAAAAAGCAAAATCTCAGCAGGACAAGAAGAAACCCAGCCCTTCCACCACAGAAAAGGTGAGGAAGCAGTTGCACCTACAGACGGTATTTTTTGGGGTGCTGGCTCCCAGCAAGGGCTCAGCCACAGACAGAGCAGAAGGACACAGACCCTTCTGCATCCCCTGCACCACTTCTGCTCACAGGCTGGCTGGGATCACCTCCCACACCTGCATGGTACGAAGCAGCCTTTGGATGCTGATCTAAGACAGCGCCTCAGTGCTGCTGAGATTCCTGCTGGCTGATTTCCCACAGCACCAAGCCTAAGGAGGGAAGCCCAGAGCCGTTCAGGCAGCCATGTGCCCAGAACTGGACACAGACATCGTCCCCACAGCCAAGCAGCAGCTATGGGCAGCAAGCGTCACGAGAGGAAAGCATTCAGAGACCATCCAGGAGATTCAGGACGATCCTTCAAGCTTCACTCACCCTCAAAAGCTCTTCATCTCCATGCTCCTTCACAAACACTTCCTCTAGTTCCTGGTTTAGCCCTTCCAGGCTCCTGTGCAAGCAAGGACTGAGCCTCAAAACGGGAGACAGAGAAAGGAAGCCTGAAGGAGAGTCCTGCAACAACCCAGAGTGAAAGATGTTAGCTGTGGCAGCACAAACTCAGTCATTTCTCAGTTCCATTCCAATGTCGCCGCACTCAGTGCTCAGCCAGAGCCTTCGAGGAAGCTGACTGGCAAAGACCGACAGAAGAGCCACGGAAACCCACCAAGGGCTGGTCAGAGCACGGGGATCTGAAGCAGCGGAGGAGGAAGAAAAAACGCCCCCCTTTCACCCCCCCACCCCCTTGCTCAGAAGTCTGAGAACAGCTGGGATGTCTGCACTCATCTCATTGGGACGCACTGACAGCACGGGGAGGTGTGAGCCTACATCAACCCACCCGCAGCGATCCAAGCACGGCGTGGTCCCCCTGCAGCGGGGAGCTCTTCTCCTTTTCTTTGCCACTTCTGCCGTTCAGCTTCGTTCGCTGGAGCTGCTGCTTCAGTTTGGCAATCTAGCAAATAAAGTTTCAGCTGCAGAACGAGGCAAACCAATACACCTCCACCAAAAATCAATCATCACATCTTGTCTCTCTCCTTCCCCCTCTCTCGACCCATGAGGAAGTGCCAAAATAGTGTCAGCTCCCATGGCACAACAAGCTGCTCTGCCTCTCCAAGGATGAGCAAGGACTGCCCACGAGGCCTCACCAAAAGCTGCCCCCTGGCAACGTGGGCAGCACCGCTGCATCTGGGTTATCTTCCACCTGCAGCACCAGGCCCTGCTGGAGCCCACGCACACTGTGACACCTACCAGCAATGCGCTGAGCTCCAGGGGAGTTTCTTTATAACAGCTGCCTGTGAGATCAGCCTCCTGTCCAAGCACAGCATTAGGGGTGAGAATGAGGGCTAACATCTCTAACACTACAACCCCGTCCTCCCACTCCCCTCCCATGCAAGCAGGAGCCTCCTGCACATCAGCAGCTAACACAGACCTTGCTCAAGTGCTGGGAGCGATCTGTTTTACCTCTCTGCGGTGATCTGTGCTACCCCAGGAAGCAGAACGCTTGTGAGCACTGGAGCTGGCTTTTCCCACTTCTGCATCATGCCAGGACACCGGGGTCTGAATGAGGAGAAACATTGCTGAGAACAATCGCCACCCTTACTGCTCTGAGGCTGCTGGAAGAGCCCGAAAGAATAAAAGCGATCAGCTGCTGCTCCTTCACAGCCCTGCTCCAGTCCTCCCCCACTGTCGCTCAGTAATTCAGCACCGAATTCTTTCAGCACTCACCAAAACCTCACCATTTTAACCAAATCTGTGCCTCTGCAGGAAAACTGGGCCCCACGGACCTGCATGGCAACTGAGCTGCTCGGAAGGCAGTGCCTCAATTCCCACGGGTACCTGGCAACGTGAGGCACAGCCATTGCTCCTCACGCCCTGGCGCTGCCTGCAGCCCAAAGCAGGGTGACGTAGAGACACAAGCACTCGTTTGTACACAGCAGCCTTACAGAGAGGAAAAGCCTCACCCAGCTGTGAGAACACACAGCTTGCTTCTGAGACCTCAGGCTCCCATTATCGCAGTTCAAAGGCGTAACCAAAAGCAGGGTTTGGCCTGCAGACTCGATGCTGCCGCAGGAGTGCTGGAAGAGTCCAGCTGCCTGTGCTGCTCACTGGCTGAAGGGCTGGCAGCTCTCAGCTGACTCTTGGTGCACAAAAACAGCCCCAGCGCACTGCACAGCTGTTTTCCAAGCAACAGCCACGTTATGAGCATCAATGGCAGTCAGAAGGGGCCGCTGATCTGATCGGCCATGGGTGTGAACTTCCTTCCGCTGAACTCAGTCCTGCTCAGCGGAGCCTCCAGCACCAGAACGCTCCCAAGGCACATCAGCTGCAGGGCTGCTTTTTCCCAACATCGCATGTCAGGCCCTCTCAAAACACCCAGCCCCTGTCCCCACTGCCTGCCGTGCTGTGGGAGGCTCTGACAGCGCTCCCCTCCTCCATCCTCAGGGACGGGCTGCCCGGAGGTGCAAGGGCCTGAGAACAGCTCCTCTCCATCTCCCCTGAGGCCACTGCGAGAACAGCAGCTGTTGGAAGCAGCCCCATCGAGTCAGCAGGATGACAGAAACCTCTTCTCTCAAAATGTGTTTTAGTATGTATTGAAAACAAAGGAACAAGGCGGGTTACCTGGAGAGGTACCAGGCTTTCCTTTGCTAACTGGATGCAGAAGACTTCCAGACAGAAATCCAACCCTGCCCCAAGTCACAGGCTCCAATGCAGCCCCTCCTTGCACCCCCTCCCCCAAAGCAGGGCACACCATTCCCACCACAGCATGCACTGCCTGGGTCTTCGTCCACAGGACCAGTGAGCAGCAGGCACAGCAGCTGCCACAGAGTGCAGCGCTCAGTTTGGTTTGACAGAAGCAATCTGCTCAGCCTAAAGCATTACTGCGAGGTCCTGCTGAGCTCAGAGCAGCCTCAGCCGCCCCGTGGAGGAGCAGGCTGCTCCCATAGGAAGTCCTGCAGCTCAGGCTAACCCCACACTTTGAGCACATGGCACATCTGATCTCATTTCCTACCTCAAATAGTCTCTCCTAAACAACTCGGACAGCGTTCAGTGTTGATGCCAGAACATTGTGTCATTTCACATCCCAGCAGATCACGTACGTAGGAAAGCTAAGGAGGAAAGCTAGAAGAGGCAAGACTCAGCTCCATCTCATGTTACTGCTGAAGGAGAGGCTGGGAAGCTCAGCTTCAGCTGCTGGAAGAGCCCAGGATGTGAGAAAAACTTAAGGCACCTGAAGACTCTCAAGCAACAACTCCTTTAACACCCTGCTCTACTGCTGTGACACCCAGAGCAGCGGGCTGCCAAGAAACAGGGCCCAGAAAGGAAGAAGCGATGATTCTCGCAACAGGAAAACCTGAAAGTAAAGAATGTTTGTGCACCCCACTCCTTTTCTAGGCAGAGTGTCAGGGCAGAAGGAAATTACAGAACTTTTTGTACTAACTGTGGCAAAACTGCTTCCTCAGAAAGAGGGGGGGAAAAAACACTTTGCACAGCAAGATAAAGGCGCAGGCTGCAGCCATGCACGCTGCTGCCACTCTCCCCCACGCTGAGCACCTGCAGTTGTATCTCACTTAAGCACCTTACGACAGCAAATCTACAGAGCTCTGCACAGCAGCTGATCAGTAGCTGCGGAAGGAGGAGAGTAAACACGTACTGACAGGCAGAGAAAGTCCCAGCTCAGAGCTGACAGCATGGAAGGGGCGTCAGCCTCCTGGAGGAACATTTTGTTAGAGCACAGAGCAGGCCACAACAGAGGACTTCATTCCCAGCTTCCACAACAGCCAAGTCATCTGATGTGCACACAAACCAGTGGAGCACAGCAGTAGAATGCTGGAGATCACTGCTCCTCTCACTGGTGCGTTGCAAGGTCAGCGTCTGCAGATAGCAGGGCTGCAGCACAGCTGGCCCACTGAGCACAGCCAGCAGCTCCATCCTGAGGAGGTGCCCCCACTTCACAGCCCCTCTCCTCACAAGGACCGAATGCAAGGGAAACTGAATGGCTGCAAAGTGCCAGAGCTCAGCGCTCACCGATCTGCCTTGAGACAGAAAGGAGGAGCGCGCTTCCCTCGCTCAGAAATGAAGGTTGACAAATCTTTTCCTTTCCAGAACGTCCTCTGCAGCGCTGCTGGGCACAGGACTGAAACAAAAGCAGGCAGAATACAGTGGGAAAGGACAAGGGAAGTTGGGAACTTCCTGCAAACAGCCCAGGAATAAATTGTCAAACAGCAAAGATCAAACAGCAAGTTAACACAGATTGAGTGTGCTAAACAAACGGCTTGCTAAGCTAACGGATGCTCTTATCCTCCTGAATTCCTTCACCTCTGCAGATAGGCGAGCACTATTTGCTGCCATGCAGTAATATTTACAGGTTGCTAAGAGTTCCTTGAGGTCTGGAGCTTTTCCATCCTACAGTAGAGCTGTGCTGTGTTAGTGAGCCCTTCTGTGGGAGCACCCTCACCGTCTCAGCGTGTGGCACGCAGCCCATGTGTGTTATATAAGGACTTGGCCCATAGCTGCAAGCCAGAAAAAAAACGAGCAGTGAGCCAGGGCTGGAGCAGAAAGCCAGAGGCCATCTGCCTCCAAACAAGGCCAAGGAAATTCTAACTGCACCGAAATGGAATCATGGAGCTGAAAAGCACAAGGGGAAAAACAGCCTTCCTAGAAAGCTGCAGCTGGATGGAGGGGAATGCAGCATTTCCTCTCTTTGCCCAGTTTACAGCCATTGCAGTTCTGCAGCCCCTTCCTGGCCCAGGGACTTCCCGCACAGCCCACATCCATACCTGGGTAGCTTTGTCATTCATGCACGAGGCAGAAGCTCCATCAGCATCCCGTGGCCACTGCCCCAGCAGGTAGGAGCCCACGATGGTGTCCAGCGAGAAGGTGCGACGCACGCGGGGCTGCCGGGGCCGGCAGGGCTTCTCTGCAGCAGCAGCAGCGCAGGGAACACTCGCTACACAGGAGAGAAGAGAGGAGGACGTTCAGGCTCTCAAAGCACAGCTCCAGCAACAGCCACCCCTGCCAGCAAGCCCACATCCACTGCAGAGATCCCAAGAAGGGAGGGAGCACACAGAACCTGGAGAAGCTCATTTGCTTCTTGAAAATCTAAGTGCTAATGAAGGCCCTGAGCTCCCAGCCCCGCAGCAGCAGCAGCTCTGGTGCCCAGGCCACGTTGCACAGCACAGCGCTGCTGCTCCTGGGCCATCAGAACCACGCAGCAGAGTGGGTCAGTGAGGGCTGGTGGAGCTCCTGCTTTCCCTTATCGCTGAGTGACTGCTTCTGTACAACAGGAGATTTTACTGCGGCCCTTCAGTGCCTGCTTGAAACCAGCAATCAGACACTCCATCCTCAGCCAAAGGAGCTGCCACACGAGCGGGTGAAATGCTCAACAGGGCAACCTTGCTTCTGCGTGGGAAAAAACATCACGATGTCCACAGAGCCCCATTTCTTATTAGCTGGAGCGCAGTGCTTCAGCTGCAAGAAGCCGGGCTCCTCCCGTGGGAAGGCCCAGCAGTGATGGGCAGCCTGCATGCCTTCACTTCAGCAGAGGAAGCACGCAATCGTCTGCTCCCAGCTAAGGGAGGCCAAGAGAACACCTGCACAGCTCAGGATCCTGCAGGCAGCCTTGAACCCTCGCTGCCGTTGGCAGCTGCAGGCACTCGCCCAGCAACCAGCAGGAAGGAAGAGCACAACCTGAGTGCTGCTGTGACCCAGGGCAGGCTGGCAGGACCCCAGCACCCACCCTGCAGCCCAGCTTCCCCCTTCCAGGAGGTGACCACCCCTCACCCGTGCAGATTTTTACCACGGTACCGAGGAGGAAAAGCTTCGTGCATACAAGTAGTTCAAACAGCAACAGCACAGCTGCCCTCTCCTGCAGCTGAAAGCTGTTATCACCAAACCCAAAAAAGCAGCAATCATGAAAGGCAAGTTCAAGCCAGCAGAAAAGTCTGTTTGCATTTCATTTTGATTAGACATGCAAATTACCATGCATATTAGAATCAGCCCCATGGCCTCCTGGCAGGGTAGTGAGGCCACGAGCAGCTCTGCTCCAGGTGTGCTGTGCACAGACATTCTCTCCTTCCTCCCCAAACTCAAGGTAAGGCTGGCAGTGAGTTGGCCGCGTTGAAGCCAGCATCAGGACTGCCCAGCACCACGCTGTGTGCCAAATTCCTCTACAGAGGTGTCTCAGCTCTCACTGCTTGGGGACGTGGCTGGGTAAATACCTCTTTTTATCAGCTAAAATACCATTTGAGAAGTGGAATTTGAGTTCTAGGTGAGAAGGGTAGGGACAAAAAGCCATGTGGGAGGGCTGGAATAGCATTAGTCCTTGCACCACAGCCACACCTCACAAGGTCCACACAGGATTAAAGGCTTATTGTGCTGGCCCAGCTGGCATCTCAAGACACACTCCCCGCTTCCAACAGTTAATAGCCTAAGACAGCTACCACTAATTTAGAAACTCAGCGTTTGCAGCTTCCTCACTCACTCACACCTCCATCCTGTGTGGCTGCTGCCCCTGAACTCAGCCCACGAGCACCTGGAGCACAGCAGGCACAGATCCACAGCACACAGCACAGCAGCTCCATCAGGAGCAGCACAAGGCAAGAGCTGGGCTGTGAGCAGCACGCAGGGCAGGGAGGCCGTGCCACGGCTGCAGGGTGCTGCAGCAGGGTGGAGCGTCCTGTTTGCAGCCCTGAGCCGTTATCAGCGCTCTGCACTGAGCTGCACAGCTGCCACCTGGTACCGGTGCTGGGTCTGGGCAGCTCCGCAGCTGGGAAGTGTTGGCTGTGGTGCTTTTAGTTCTCACGTGACAGCAAAGCTGCTGGAGATAAGAGAGCTATCGCTGTGCCTCCAAGAGCCACTGGGCTGCTCCGATTGCTGCGCGCATCCCCAAGTTCAGGAGATCGGTGTGATGCATGCAAGCACAAGCAGGAAGCCTTCAGGATGGAGTTCTGGATCTGCAGGATCTCTGGTCTTTCCCAGCCACAACACAGGCAGCTCAGAGCTTCCAAAACCACCCTGGACCAGGCCATCACTGCGTCTAAAAAGAGAAACGCCTACAGTCCATCGATTAAAACAATAACCAAAAGGATCTCTCCATTTTCCAGAGTCACCATTCAGCGAGCAGCACTTGGAGCTGAATCCACAAATGATGGCAAACAACAACAGTGCTCTCACTACTGCTCTCTTTTTAGAGTTGTAAAATTTTATTCCTTCCTTCCCTCAATTTCACCCTGGGGAAACCCACCCTCTCACATCAGAAGGCTGTTTAGAGATTGAGGGACGTGCTGTTCAGACCCTGACATTTTTTGGAGCACGGCCATGAGAAGTCTGCCTTAAAGTGACAGAGCATGAAACAACAGCCCACGTTCCAATACAGCCAGCTTTAAAGAGAACCACAGAGCAACGGGAGCCTCAGCCTCCTGAGTTCTGCACCAACCAGGCACAGGGAATGCTCTGGGACACAGCTTTCCTCTCAATGGCTTAAGCAAGAACTGTTAGCATTCCTGAAGCATCAGGCTGAAATGGAACCTAAGCAACTCGGTCAATAATTAACTCATGCAAATATCTTCCACCCAACTGTAACAGAAATTACAGCTGATTATTTAAGTTCTGCATCAGCTTCTCTTACCCACACCTTGCAATGCTCTTTACAATGCAGCCCATACCCAGGGGATGCTCCTGACCAAGGGCAAAACAGTGATCAGCAGTGCAGATGGTGGAAACCAAGATCAGAACTGAAGCCCTGATGTTATAAGCCGTTCAGGTCTCATTTCAGCCTCTCCTCAGTCCCACCAGGGTGAATCAATCAGGCTACCTGACAGGTTGCTGCCATATAGCACTGAATTCTCAGCAGCAAGCAAGCAGGCAGTTCTACGTACAATAAAACTTGAAATCCTCTGCTTTGTGCAGCACAGCAATCTGCAGGCAGAGGCATTCCCTCTGCAGGGACTCTCAGCTGACCAGATGGGCAACAAATGGGCACCAAAGCACCACAGAGCTGGAGCAGCACTGAGAGGCAGCATGCAGAGAAGGGACAGAGCTCCAGCCAGGTGCCTGGAAGCAGAGGTGACAGCAAATCTCAAACTCTGACCAGAAATCGATGAGAAATCCAGAGAGGACTGCAAGCATACGGCTACTGAGGGACGAGGAAGGTCTGGAACCACATCATGAACTGAGTGCCACAGCAAAACCTCGGGCATCCAGCCCTGCCACAGGACTGCATAGGAAACAATTGACATCTCCACCTCTGGCCACGTTTTCAAGCTTTGGTTCCTTTGTCCTTTAAGAAGATACGCAACTCACAGTTGTACCAGGATGGGATTTCAGAGCTCTTTGCAATGTACATTAATACAGAAAGGCAGGGAAATACGGTGAGGAGACAGAAGCTGTGGTTGGACTGCAATCCCCCTCATGACTGTTGCTCAAACCATACACACATGGCTTGAGAAAAGCAGAAAGCACACAGCCCTGAGGATAACACAGATCTGCCTCTGCTTCAGGGCTTCTCCTGCACACGAAACGCTGGGAACAGCGCTGGGAAAGCAGGACTGCAGCGTCCTGCAGCCAAGGGCAAAGAGCACCAACACCTCCAGGCCAGGGGTCTGCAGCACCAGCAAAGGGATCCCAGGCTCCCAGCCCTGCTGGTTGGATGCTGCAGCGACTACAGCTGGACAGAGCTACCATAAATACAACAGGAAGAGATCAGTAAGAGCCAGCAGCAGCTCAGGCTGCTTGGGACAGTCGGAACAGCAGCTCCCCAGCCCAGGGACTGGAACTGAGCACCCTGAATGGAGGAAACGAGCTGAACTTTTCACCTTCATCTTAATTCTTTCAAAGTTTGTTTTCCAAATGAGAAAACAATCTGAAGAATTTCAGCTTCCTCAGAGCCTTTGGTCCAAGTGAACATTTCCTCCATTGGGCCAACGCACCGCAAACCCATCTGCTCCCATTGGCAGGAGGGCTGTGTTTCTGGATGGGCTTCTGGATGCTGAAATTGGTGGAAGATCAGAAGAAACCAGAAGGGCAGGCAGGCAGCCTCTCACAGACTGTAAGGGTGGTTTAGAGACGAGCAAAATTCCAACTTCAGATTTTGAGGTAATGTTCACTCTGATCTGGAAAAAGAGTGGTGACCAAGGAGCTGCTCAGATCACCCACATCCCTCTCAGAAGAGTGAAACCCCAGCTATGAAAGCAGAGCTGGGGGTGTTTTCCTCCCCCCTTTTTTGTTACACCTCTTTAAATCAATTCTGATAAGCATCTAGGAACCAAGATCTCAGCGGAAGGCAGGGCCAAGGTGAGGAACCTTTGATTCCTGAGCCCTTGGAAATCTTCCAGTACAAAGTAAAGCAAACACAGCAAAGACATCCTCAGTATTTCTACAGTTACAATCAAGCTGGAAAACAAGGAAAAAGGAGGCTTGTGCTTTATACACGCAGGTACATAAATCTCACCACACTGCACGACAAGCCCTTGTCCCTTTCTCTTTCACAGCCATCATTAGGATGAGTTTCAGTTGAGCCTGCAGAGACCAAGTGTGAAACTATTGAGAAAAGCCTTCATCAGGGAGAAAAAGTAAGAATAAAGCCTCAGGATCTGCTACTCCTTCCTACAGCCTTCCTTGTGCCTCCCACCTGGGGCAGCAGAACGGCACAGCTGCTATCAGCTCACTGCAGCACCAGCCTGAACGGCACTGCAGGGCAGCAGCCACGGGACCAAGCCAGGAACTGCACTCAGTAACTCCTGCAGACTGAGAGGATGGCAAAGTGGGAGAAGCACAGGGAGGGCAGGAGCAGCAGCTCTGTGCAGTGGCACACAGGCATGGCAGGCAGCACGGAAGCAGCCATCTCTCCCACTGTGCAGACCAACCACGCCACCATCTTCAACGCTCGCCTGGTTTCCTCTACAACCATCCCAGAAAGACCAGGTGCCCACAGGCAGCACCACAGGCATC